CCCTCTATCTGTGTGTCTACCAGATGAAGGGACTCCTGTGGGGGTGAGAAAATCCTGGTGTTCACAGGGTGATGTGATGTCTGGTGAAACTCACAAAGCAGCAACTTAGTAAGGACCACTGGAGACTGCCAGGGCCTTTAGGGTGAACATGAATCAAAGTGATAAAGTTATACTGACTAGATGGGGTGTGTGCCTACATGTATCCATGTGCATGTGTGCTCCTCTGTGTGTGTACAGGCATGTGTGTCTCTGTATGTGCATGTGTGCTCTGTGTGTGTACAGGCATGTGTGTCTGTGTGTGCATGTGTGCTTTGTGTGCAGGCACATGTATATGTGTGTGGGTGTGTCTGTGTATATAGGCATGTGTATATGTGGGTATGGGTGTGTACAGGCACGTGTGTATGTGGGTGTGGGTGTGTACAGGCACGTGTATATGTGTGTGTGGATGTGTTTATAGGCACGTGTATATGTGTGTGTGGATGTGTGTATAGGCCTGTGTATGTGTGTGTGTGTACAGGCACATGTATATGTGTGTGGGTGTGTACAGGCACGTGTATATGTGTGTGGGTGTCTGTATAGGCACGTGTATATGTGTGTGTGGATGTGTGTATAGGCACGTGTACATGTGTGTGTGGATGTGTGTATAGGCATGTGTATATGTGTGTGTGTGTACAGGCACGTGTATATGTGTGTGGGGTGTACAGGCACGTGTATATGTGTGTGTGGGTGTGTACAGGCACGTGTATATGTGTGTGGGTGTCTGTATAGGCACGTGTATATGTGTGTGTGGGTGTGTACAGGCACGTGTATATGTGTGTGGGTGTGAACAGGCACGTGTATATGTGTGTGTGTGTCTGTGTATATAGGCACGTGTATATATGTGTGTGTACAGGCACGTGTATATGTGTGTGTGTGTATAGGCACATGTATATGTGTGTGGGTGTCTGTATAGGCACGTGTATATGTGTGTGTGTATACAGGCACGTGTATATGTGTGTGGGTGTCTGTATAGGCATGTGTATATGTGTGTGTGGGTGTGTACAGGCACATTTATATGTGTGTGTGGGTGTGTATATAGGCATGTGTATATGTGTTTGTGTATGTAGGCACGTGTATATGTGTGTGTGGGTGTGTACAGGCACGTGTGTATGTGGGTGTGGGTGTGTCTGTGTATATGCATGTGTATATGTGTGTGTGAGTGTGTACGGCACGTGTATATGTGTGTGTGTCTGTATATAGGCGCGTGTATATGTGTGTGTGTGTGTATATAGGCGCGTATATATGTGTGTGTGGGTGTGTACAGGCACGTTTATATGTGTGTGGGTGTGTCTGTGTGTATAGGCACATGTATATGTGTGTGTGAGTGTGTACAGACATGTGTATATGTGTGTGTGTCTGTGTGTATAGGCATGTGTATATGCGTGTATGTGGGTGTGCACCTCTGTGTGAACATGTACTCTGTGTGTACAGATGTGTGTATATGCATGTATGCGTGTGTGCACATGCACAACAGAGTGCTTGCTTGTGCATATGTGCACGTGTGTGTGTCTCTATGTGTGTACATGTGCGGAGAGGGTGTCTGCGGAGAATTCAGAATCAGAAAGTCCCTGGAGGCCGGCACTCAGGCCCTCTTGGTCGCTGGCTTAGACGATGCAACACAGTCTCAGGAATTTGGTTGGCTGGGTTTGAATCTTGCTCCACTCCTCACTAACTATGCCTCAGTTTCTCACCTGCAGAAGAGCAGCCCTTCGTAGGATGAGTGTGGATTCAGTGAAGTGAGGCACCAGTAGTTCTGGTCTGGGGCTGGGCTTAGGATGTGCTCTCTGGCCCTGGCTGGGGGTCCTCAGGACTGTGGTGATGGGCACTTCCCAGTGGCTCCCACCTTCTCTCCACAGGGCCTTCTCTAGGGTGATGAGCTAGTGGTGGGATGTCCCCAAGCCAAAACCACATCTGATCACATCTATCCTCTCTAGGGTGAGAAAGGCCCACAAGGGCCTGCTGGCCGAGATGGTCTCCAAGGTCCTGTGGGGCTCCCAGGCCCAGCTGGCCCTGTGGGTCCCCCTGGAGAAGATGGAGATAAGGTAAGGAGAACCCAGAATTATGGCGGTCAAGCCTGGCCAGGTGGGAAGGCCAGAGGGAGGCCATCACTGCACGATGCCCATGGGCCCAGGGGCTCAGCCAGCAGCTTGATCCGCACCCACCCTGCAGTCCTGGCATTAGTGGACGGTGCAGGAGCAGCACACAGATAAACGGTAGCAAGTGAGCCCTCGGGTGTGCCTGAGCGGGCTCAGAAACCACTTTCCTCTTGTGCCCTTTTGAGGTTGACTAAAACATTTGTTACCAGAAGCCAGAGCAAAGAGAAATGCTCCCCTCCCCCACCAAATCATTTCAGATTCTCAACCTTGGAGCCCCATTTAATGAGGTTTTACTCAGTATCTATTTTTAAATGTCTTCACTTGAATTATCAAGGCTCCCTTTCATTAAGAATGTGCTTTATAATTCTAACGCCATTATCGCAGACCTCGTATTTTACACTTCATTTAATGAAGACAGTGAAATGCAGTTCTTCAGTTTAACTATCGTTCGTGATAGCTCTCAGGTGACATCTCTTTGTCACTCAACTTTGTCACCTCTGCATGGACAACGCCTTACATCTCAAGGTGGAGAACAGCCCTGCCCCAACAGAAACACTGGAGCAGGTGTTAATAACTTCCGTAGAGACGTCGTGACAGCGTTGTCTGCTATCATGGTGGCAGGTTAACAGTGCGATGAGAAAGTTAAAGGATTTCCATATGGCTTCCCCACATTTTCAAGCCAGCAGACATTCTGTATAGTATCAGGTCAGGTCAAGACCTTGTCCCTTTTAGCCCTGTCCTAAAAAGGCGATCAAATTAGGATACAGAAGCCTTCCTCCTGCGGAAAGTGACAGGGCTTCCTGGGAGGAGAATGTCCTCCCAGAGAAACTACTTATGGTCTGAACGGCACTGGCCTGTCTGACGGGTCTTCCACGTCTTCCTCCAGGGAGAGATTGGGGAGCCGGGCCAGAAAGGAAGCAAGGGGGACAAAGGCGAGCAGGTAAGAGGGGGCGCGGTGGTGTGGACAGCTCCCAGGCTGGCAGTGCCACTCACAGCCATGTGCACAGGGTACCGCGTGGTGCCTGCTGACGTGACTGGGACACACTGGCGGAGTCCCACATGTGTGCATTTGGGTGACTCCCGTGTGTGTGTGTGTGCGTGTGTGTGTGTCTGTGTGCACCTGTGAGTGAGTTGCCTGGTGTTAAAATGAACAGGCACCATTCACAGGTTTTATAAATAAAAGCCAGTTGAGTGTTTCTGTCCTTGAGGTTTTTGGTTCTGCAAACCCACTCATGGCCCTCTGAGGCTGGGGAAGCCAGAACATTCTGCAGGGGCAGTGCCATTGACCAAATCCCTGTTCATTTTCCCCCTTTCTGTTTTGTCACCTGTTTGGAAATACTAGTGTGTTTTTAAAAGAACTCCGGCACAGTGCTGCCAGCTTCTTCCCGCCGGTGGGAAATGTCTCCTTACTTCCCCGCAGTCCGGCATCCCACTGAGCAGCTAGATTCCCAGGCAGGAAGGAGCCATGCTCCCGGGAGCCTGCCCCGGGCAGTGTCCTTCCGTCCGGGGTCGGGCTCCTGCTCCCTCCTTCCTTCCTTCCCCCTCTCCTGCTCTCTCTGAGCTGCCAATTTCTCAGGGCAGCACAGGGAAGCAGCTCTCCAAGTGTGGGGCTTGGGGCTTGGGGGTGAGCAGAGCCCTCCTGTGTCCTGTGGGAAGGGGCCTCATGTGCCCATGTCCTGGGGGAGGGGTGGACCTGAGGAGATGCATGGTGACCTCTAGGGAGATGTAGGGGCCGCTGCCTCTGCTGCCATAATGATGTGCTTGGGGTTGAACCAAGAACCTGGCCAAATTCCCAGAGCCTGCAGCACAGCTCACACATTGGTGTTGATGTTCCCGCTGATGAATGACACATTTGGGGACTGAACCCATGACCTCAGATGCATCAGCTTTGGACATCGTCCACCCCCTTCCTCAGCTTCATCTGAGATACAGAAAGAGACCTGTGTTTCTGCCTTGTTCCCCACAGGGTCCTCCCGGGCCGACGGGTCCTCAGGGCCCCATCGGACAGCCAGGCCCCTCCGTGAGTATCTGTGGTCAGTGACCTTCAACTAGACTCACAGCCCTCACCACTGTGTTACTGCGACTAGACTTACTGACAGCTCCCTGGTCTCCCTGCAGGGCGCAGACGGTGAGCCAGGGCCTCGTGGCCAGCAGGGCCTTTTTGGGCAGAAGGGTGATGAAGGTCCCAGAGGTTTTCCTGGCCCCCCTGGGCCAGTGGGGCTGCAGGTGAGTGCAAGTTTTCACTAAGCCAGTCAACTTCAGATGCCCCCTCTGTGGTCACTGTGCCCCAGCCCCCTGACTTTGCAAGGATGCGAAGCCTGTGAGGCTGCAGGGGCCTCCCCATCCAGTCAGAAGTGGGGCAAATTCCCAGAATTCCAGGCATCCCAAATTCACTGCTCTTATTTAAACAATCACAGTTATTCCCATGTTCATTGTAGAAACCGATAATTTATAAGGAAACAAAATGACTTGTAAATAGTGCCTGGAAATGAACTATAAAAATCTGGGCCCCTTTCACTGCCATCCCCTTGGAAGGTGTGCATGCACGCAGTCAGAGGCACACGTGCCATTTTCCCTGGGTTTTGCAAATCTGAGTCCTGTCACATGTTACGCAGGAAGTTTGTATGCCGCCATCCTCACTTTTCATTTTGAGGTGTACTGAATGTCGTGGAATATTCTCTGAACAAATGGCCTTTTATTTATTTGGGAAACATGATTTTTAGTCTCTACATAGTAACCCAGCATCTGGTGGTGACATAATCCGTCCCAGCATCTCCCTGCTGTTGGCTCATTAGGTTTATTGCTTTATGGGACCCTGCCATAAGCACCTTTGCCATAAATCTTTGCGTTCTCTAATTATTTCCCTGGGCTGAGTCTGAAACTTGGAGTCTTGGGATGTTCTTGTCAGGAGCTGCACGCACATAGCGTGTTCCAGGGCTGTCGGGGCTCGGTGCTGTCATGTGGTGGAGGTGGTGAGACCGTGTGTGTGTGTGTGTGTGTGTGTTTGTGAACAGTACTTAACTGTGTTTCCTGCCCACAGGGCCTGCCAGGACCTCCAGGAGAAAAGGGTGAGACAGGAGACGTGGGCCAGATGGTAAGTGCGTCTGGACACCAAGACCGGGCCATGGCAGCTGGCTGACGTGGGGGAAAGTCTGCCTTTTCTCCAGGCTCAATGTCCTCTCTCTTTCCCTAGGGCCCTCCAGGTCCCCCTGGCCCCCGAGGACCTTCCGGAGCTCCAGGTGCCGATGGGCCACAAGGTCCTCCCGGAGGAATAGGGAATCCTGGTGCCGTGGGGGAGAAGGTGAGGCCTCACGCCCTTCATCACAGCAGACCTGTGCTGTATGAGAATCCGGGGTGTGTCCATGTGCACATACCCATGTGTGTATGTGCAAGAGTGTGCAAAGGCACTGCTGAGTCGTGCCTGTCGGACACATTTTGACATTTAGAATAAGATTCACAGAATGGAACTTGAAACTTTGATATGCTCATTGGTGGTGGCCTTTTGCAGAATTTCCAAATGATGTCCCCGACCAGTAAGGCCCCGCCACATTTCCCAAGATTTAGTTCTGAGGGGAATTACCGTCTGTTCCTTGAAGTGCCCGCGTTCTGTTTGCATTTCTGTTTGCCGTTCTCATTTCAGCTGAATTCTTTTCTCATAGCCTGGGGGCCTCTTCTCTCTGCTGATGGATTTTAGGGCCTGAGTCCTCGAGATGACTCAAAGAGTGTGCGAGACCTGTGTGTGCCCCTGTTTGCATGCGTCTGTGTGTGCCGAGTGCATGTGTGTGTGCCTGTGTGTCTGAAGGTGTGTGCACATGTGTGTGCATGTCTGTGTGTGCATGTGTGTCTATGTGCACATGCAGTGGGTGGGCCTCCACGCCAGTGCTGCTGAGTTGGCCTGACTGTAAAGCAAACTGGACAGGAGGGAAGGCAGGAATGGCACCTGTGCTCTGGAGCTCCCTGCGTACTGTTTCCAGAGATTTCTTTCTGACATCAGGCCATGAAATGACGAGAAACTTCCCTCACTGCTCATTTGTTATGATACAGAAATTAAAGAGAAATACGCCCTGCTGTGCCCACAGAGGACGGCAGCATCTTTCTCTTACCATGCCTTGGCTGCCCCTGCCCGTTCCACTTTCCCGGGTCCTCCCCAGTGGCCATGGCCCTGAGGAGTGGAAGGAGCTTTCTCCCTGCTTCTGCCTTGGCTGTGCCCCCAGGAACACGGACTCACCTGCCCACCCCCCCCAACCTGTAGTTTCTCACACGCATCCTACAAAGCCCTGAGAGTCCCCTGTGGCATAGACGCCCCTCCCTGCATCCATCACATGCCCGCCACATCCTCACGTGCCTCCTTTCCAATCCTGGGAGCTGTGTGGGGACTGAGTGCTATGCAACTGACCCAGGGGTTCCTGCCACCCAATGGCAGATGCTTGAGGCTGGAGCTGCTGTCCCTGTCACTGCCCTAACTGTGCCACATTTTCTCCTCAGGGTGAGCCTGGTGAAGCTGGCGAGCCTGGCCTTCCAGGAGAAGGAGGCCCTCCGGTGAGTGAGTGGGCACTGGGGCAGGATGTGCCCAAGTGGCTGTGTGGACAGGGTGCTGGATTGGAAGCTCTGGCCCTATCTCAGTTTTCCCATCCATAAAACGGGAGTCATAAACCCTCTTGTACCCACCTTACAGAATCACTGGAAACAAGGGGAGTGAGCACGTGTGTGTGTGTGTGCACATACGATGGTGACCATCGTCACCACTGCCACTGTGGCAGTGGCTGACAGTGTCTGTGATGACCCAGCCCCTTTCTCAGGCTACCATAAATGTCAGGCAACTGTTGTTACCCTGCCATGCCAGGCCTTCAAAAGCCAGGGAACTGTTTGCTGTGAGGCCAGCTTGCAGGTGGCTTTTGGGCCCTGGTGACAGCGAGGGTAGGAAGTGGCCAAGGCCTCCTGGGTTTTTAGCTGCTGCCTCCATCTGAGAACCGTGGTCCTTGCGGTCCTCACTGGCTACTGTCTGATTACGGAGTCAGTCCCCCCACAGAACTGAGTCTTGGCCTTAGAGTACCCTGGAAGCCAGGGCTCCTCAGCTGGCCATGTGGCACGCAGGGGGGCCAACGCTCAGAGGGGCTGTGGAGGGCTAGAGGAGCAGATGCTTGGAGTCCGTGTGTGCCGAGAACCAGGAGGCACCCCACAGGCCAGCACCTGCCATGTCCCTGAGACTGGACCCTGGCTCTGCCCCTCCAGGGACCCAAAGGAGAAAGGGGAGAGAAGGGCGAGTCAGGCCCCTCTGGTGCTGCTGGACCCCCTGGACCCAAAGGCCCTCCCGGAGACGACGGTCCCAAAGGCAGCCCCGTAAGTACTTCTGTGATGCTAGGGCCTGTGTAGTGGGGCTGGGCCCCTGCACCCAGATCATCTGATTCACCAGTAGTGCTTTGGCTCAGGGAGTAGTGCCAGCACCACTGCTTATCTCAGGGTAGTTTTTCCAAAGTCTGGAGGTTTTTGCACCAATGGTAGGGGAAATATTGGAGATGAGAGAGTAGATATGGGGTGGAGGAGGTTGCCCCAGGTTCCAGGCACCCAGCCTGATGCACACTGCAGGACAGATGGGCCTGGGGCACGCCCCTGCCTCTGGCCTGCCCTGATTTGCATCAGGAGTGGCTTTGGAGAGGCAAATTCTGAAGGTCAGGTTCTAGTCTCTGCCTGGATCTCCCATGAGTGGACGGGTGGGCAAGATGCCTGCCTCTGGCATGTCTGTGGAAAGCAAGAGACCGGCTGGCCCTGCCACCACTGGCCAGGCTGTTGGCTCCTCAGGATGCTGCAGTGAAAGGGCTTTTGGGTCATAACGTCCGCTGAAGTGTGAGTGCTGTGGGACTGCTCTAAGAGCTGGGTGGTGGTAGTGGTCGCCTGGTGGCACTGATGGGAGTTAGCACCAGGGTCTCGGGTGGGCTGCTGACAGCCTTTCTCTTTCTCCTTTTTAGGGGCCAGTGGGTTTTCCTGGAGATCCCGGACCCCCTGGAGAGCCCGGCCCCGCGGTAGGTGTAGAGAAGGGCAAGGCTGCTCTGTCCCCACTGCGGTTGCCCGGCCTCTGACAGCCCCATTTCCCTCTTTCTTTTTGGTGGTTTCCTTTCAATGAGTTCTGTTTGGGGTGCACACTTTCCTGGGACGTCCACGTTCTGATGACTGGGTGGAGAAGTGCACTTCCCACCTGGGCACTCTTTGTGCTGGCACCAGGGTGGATTTTGACTTGGGAGAAGTGGCTGAGGATACATTGGGCACCAGTGGGTGAACTCAGGGTGCAGTCCAACAGTCAGCCAGGAACTTGGCATTGTCCCCACAGGGTCAAGATGGTCCCCCTGGTGACAAAGGAGACGATGGTGAACCTGGGCAAACGGTGAGTCCACAGCCTGCCATGGCTTCTTGGTGAAGGATGTCTGTGTGTTCTCAGCACTTTGCAACTTACGTGGTTCACTTCTGAGACAAGTGCAAACCTGCCCTCTTACGTGATTCTTGACCATGGCAGGGACTCGTGGACTCCATTTGAAGGTCTAGTGAACACTATGGGCCCAATTTCCAGAAGAGGAAAGTCAGTGTTCAGTCTTGGGAGCAATTTTACACACAGCTCCAGGGCTTCCATGATCCCCATATGCCCAGCACAAGTGACAGAAGTTACCTGTACCCTAACACTGATCCTAGTGGGGCCGAGCACCCTCTGCACAGGGCCCTTCCTGCCTGAGCCCCTGGTGAGCTCTCATTAGATGTTGCAAAGTGTTTCAAGCACGTCCTCAAACCAATGCCATCTCTCAGGGATAGATCAGCTCCAAAGGCCCCTGGGAAGGAGGCAGCTTGGAGGGGACCATCCGAAGCCTCACAGGTCTCCCTCGCTCCATCCCACATCGAGCAGGGCAAACTGCTGCTGAGAATTATAGACCCTCGGGGAGAAGGCCGGTGCTACCAATTTGCGACTGTCAGCTATACAAAGACAGGATTGGGGCACAGCTCTGGGGCCAGATTTCCCCCGAGATGTCCCTGTTTCACCATGTCTGGCCTGTGCCACCAGTATGTATCCCCACTTTTGTGTGAGAGAATGCTGAGGGCCCACGCTCAACAGGGTAAGCCCATTGTGGGAAAATTCTCCAGTATGCCACAAATCTGTGGATGTGAGGTGGGGTCCCTGTGCTGAGTGTGGAGGCTGCAGAAAAGCAGTCCCAGGCAGGCCTCTCTGGGGCTGCTGTGTCAGCTCCCAAAGATGGGGAGGAAGCACCTGGCCCACTCAGGAGAGACAAGGTTGCAACACTGTGTGGTCTCTGTGATGTTGTCTAGCAGGCCTTGGTTCCTAATACTCTGTGTGTTTTTCCTCTGATACCAGGGATCCCCGGGCCCTACTGGTGAGCCAGGCCCGTCCGGGCCTCCAGGAAAAAGGGTAAATACTTCAGAACGCGAACCCTGCTCTCAGTGCCCCGTGTGATATGGATCCCCAGTCCCGCCTCCCTCTTCATCTTTTGCTGAGTCCAGGGGAGCTCTGAGTGGTGTGGTGAGGAAGGCACTGTGTGTGAAGAGTGTTCTCCATGAGCCTGTGGTATGAAGAGGAAGGTGCTGTGTGTGAAGAGTGTTCTCCATGAGCCTGTG